ATATATATATATATATATATATAATGTTACTGTTAGTAGATATTTACTAGGATAGCAATGACAATTAAATATGTGAAAAGTGCAAGTGATTTTGTACAAACCTTCGTTACATCACAAAGGATGATGTTATGTTCCATAAATGTCCAGAATTGATAGTTTTTTTTAATCATGCTAAACTTGCCACATAAAAGTAAATAGCTTGTATAGATATTTTGCAAATGGGAATTATTATGTGAAAACAAAAGAAATTTTTATGCAAAACTTCTATCAACCGTTACGTTCTGTACAATCAATTATCTTTCAAATCCTTCATTTTTGCCAAATGGTTAAATAGAAACTTCCTAGTTACAACAATTACAATATAGATATTCCTATATATATATTAAAGAGACATTTTGAATATATTCAGAAGCTATTCCCCAAATTTCGCGGAAATTTATCTGGATCTGAAAAAATGTCTATATCTAAATTACAAATTGTATTGATTACTTTATATTAGACGTTCAACTAAGTGCTGAATAATGATTGAAGAGCAATTGCACGAAGATAATAAGTGAAATAAATAGAAAAAAGGAAAAAGAGATGACGTCATTACAAGTGTTATTACATTGTTTGCCCTTTAAACATAAGTTTGAAATACGTGATGCATTAATAGCAGACTTAAGAAAAGCGATAATTAACGACAAATATTTGCAACAATCTGAAATTGAGGTACTTTAATAAATTTTTGCAAATTATCTTACTAGAGTATTACAAAATTATTTACTATAGTAATACAAAATTAAATATTTGTATTAAGGAAAAACAAAAATTGTAGGAAAAAATTGATGCTCTTTGTAAATGGATATGTACAACACCTAAAAAGAGCTTCTATAGACTAGATCGTTTTAAGGATGATTATACAAACGATCTGGACGATTTACACAAAGCATTAAAGCAGGTACGTTAAATAAATCAATTCTTTTTAGTAATACAGAATTATGAAATTTAATAATTTTAATGCCGATCTTGCTGTAATAAAAAACAAATGATACATGAGTTGTTTTTCGATCACAAAATATATATATTATAAAATAAATTTAAATATTTCTCTCATTATTCTCATATATTCTAAAACATTATAGTCTTGACACATATCTGAGATACATTATTTATTATTCTTTAAACTTTTGTAAATTAAAAAAAAATTTATTTATTTTTTGTCCTGGATATATTTTATATAATATATTCCTATCTCAGTTCTAGGTAGGTACTTTTTTTACAAGAAAATTTTACATGTGATATATGTATATTATGTTAGGATGGTAAACCGGATCCATCTATTCACTTCTTACCGGATCTTCCTAATGGAATAGTTGCAGTCGATAGTTGGGATCTTTCGGTATCTCTTGATTTAAAGATATGTCCAGATGAAATTATCGTCGATGCTATATGTGGTGCGGTTGTGCTAAGAGGTTCTCATGTTTTTGCTCCTGGCGTTATTGGAATGCCAAATGGTAGTTTTCATACATAGAATTCTATATTCTGTAATTAAATTATATCCATAAAAAAATCTTGTAATTAAATTTATTTAACTTTTAATATTGACAGGTTTAAGCATTAATGCTAAAGTTAGTGTATTCGCCGATGTTACTGGTCAATGTAAAAAAGGTTTAATTAAACCATATGCAAATAGTAACAAGATATATTTAGGTAATGGCATTCTTCGACAAACAAGGAAAGAATTATTTTGCAAAGCAGCTAAAAATCCACGGTATACAGTTACAAATATATGCAAGATTGGAAGCTGACTTACTTATAATTATGTAGAATCGTTAAAGAACTCTCATATTTAAAGAAGAACTTTATTACTTTCAAGCATACATAGCCTAAGAAGGGGACTTGGTTTACAATTTATCAACCTCTTCACACATCCATACCTTGTTCTCGCGCATTTTTCCTCTTTATCCTAATTTACTCGACTAACCTTCACTCAACTATCAACATTATACTTCAAAACCTTTTCTCTCTTATCTATATATATATATATATAAAAGTTATGCGTGAATATATATATATATATATATATTCACGCATAACTTTTACTCACTTTTTTTTTATTAATTTACTTCGCCTAACTACTTGCACAGAATTTCCTCTCTAGCTTTCCTATATATTCCTAACACATTACCTTGCCTCATATTTCTATTCCTTTCAATTCTTATTCTATTTCCTCACATCTTTTCTTCCTCTATTAAATTCATAACTCTAAAATCTAAATTCATACTTATATCTAAAACTAAATCTACGTTTGATGCTCTCCTGCCTTCATGCATATTCTTATCCAGAAGCACTTTGTGTGTCCTTAACTCTCTAATATTTAAATTTTAATATATATTACAAGTGGCTTAGATATAAAAATTAATGTTCATAAAAAGAGAGCTACAGCCACACGCTAGATTTGATTAGCGACGTTTATTGTAAAACATTTGTATATAAATTATAAATTAGACGTTTCGGCCCTAAACGCTCTAAATGAAGCCATCTTCAGTACAATAAAAAAAAAAAACAAACTATTTTCGCAATTATGAGAATACAAATTATTATTAATATCTTCCGGTTATAAAGTTCTAATCGATAAATCATTGTCAAGATCTATAATAAACAATTACAAATTTATATTATACAAAATCATAGTCAAAGAAGTCATTCTAATATGTTCTACTGTGGAGAGATTATTATTCCAATATGTTTATTCGTTGGTGTCAAAATCTTTATCTTGATATAACATTGATTTATTAACGTCTAATTTATAATTTATATACAAATCTTTTACAATAAACGTCGCTAACCAAATCTAGCGTGTGGCAGTAGCTCTCTTTTTATGAACATTAATTCTCATATTCAAATTATAAATATTGTACAATATTTCTGTATTGACATTTTACACATTTTAACATCATAACTTGATTTGTTACTAAATCTTTTCTATTTCAAATTATTTTCTAGTGGTATTGCAATAATTATGACTGACGTAATCTCACGAGTTCCACAATTGAACGTAAATAATGTATCTTTGAGATCACATGCATTATTGCAAAATTTACCCTCTATTGTGTGTAGCCTAATTTTAAATCCTCAACCAGGTGAAACAATCCTGGACATGTGTGCTGCACCTGGTAACAAAACCACACATATTTCCTTGCTTATGAAAGGACAGGTAAATGATTAAAGAATAAAGAAAGGGATTTAATTGTTACACAGCACGTAACTTCTTATTTTCAACTATTGTATATATTATCTACGTATTTAAATTCGCACAAGCACGAAACGATGAAAATCAGAAAAAAATAGATTTTATGCGTATATATATATATATATATATATATATATATATATATATATATGTGTGTGTGTGTGTAAAAAATCTAGTGTATTTACTAAATTTAATTATTATATTTGATATAATTTTCAGGGTACAATAATAGCTCTGGAGAAAAATTTAGGTAAAGTGAAACGATTTGAGAAAAAGTGTAATAATGTTAAAAATATTAAAATATTTTGTTGTGACGCTACCAAGGCTGTTATCGAACGAGAGCATAATTTTGTCCACACTGACGGACCTCCATTCGAAGAAAATTATTTCGATCGTATTCTCTTAGATACTCCATGCAGTGCGTTAGGTCAAAGACCACAATTATACAATACAATTACATCGGCGCAACTTTATTCTTATGTTCCTTTGCAGCGAAATCTTTTTTCTACCGTAAGTACACAAATTAAATTATTTGCCACACAAATATGTATATCTGTTAATCTGCTATACATATATATATATATATGTAATATACACATAGATTAAACTTTAATAAAAATAAATACTATTCTACAGGCTGTACGTCTTTTGAAACAAAATGGGACATTGGTATATAGTACATGCACTATCACAATAGCAGAGAATGAAGGAATTATCGCTTGGGCATTGAAACAATTTCCAAAATTGCAATTACAATCTGTCAAAAATCAAATAAATACAGATAAATATGGCACTCAAGGATATATTATAGATGGTTTAACGAGTGAAAATGCGGAAAAAGTATGCAGATTTGGACCTGAAAGTGATTCTGTTGGCTTTTTTATTGCATGTTTGAAAAAATGTTCCTACTAAGATGATATGTATCACACAATACAGGCCGCATTAATGATCATGAAAATTTGCCCAGAACCAACTGTCTTTAATAATAAATAGTATAGTACTTCGCCGGTGCGTGTTACGACTATAGATCACGACTATAGAAAAATTGTGGTTCTCATTAGTTGTCGCTAGTTAACGCGATAACGACAATTGCCGGTGAGAGAATCCTGGTAGTATTTATCGAAACATGGTCATTGTTTTTTTACCATTGTATTTCTAACTTTTTTTTTTATCGATATTCGCACATATTCGCATGCGCGCGCACACATTATGTATGAACGCATTAAAATAGTATATTTCTGTGAATATACGCGAATATTATACATATAAATAAGTATACCTTTTATTCTACTATTATTCGTATCTCACTCCATCTCCAATGATCTCTGTTGTTACCACAGAACAATTGTTGCAAATCGCATATAATGTTTCCACCTAAATTTTTAGAAAAAAAATTTTAATACCGTTTTTAGCCCGATTGAGTTTGCATCAACCTGGGTTGGAAAATACTGTGCTAATAATTGACGTTTCATGCTCTATCAGAGAGCATAAAACGTCATTTATTCAACTCAGATTAGTGCAAATCTGGTCGGGTCAGAAACGCCTAGTACTTAAAGGCTGCGTACAATCAAGGAATAGGAATACACACGCGCGCGCGCACACATACAAAAGAACAGCAAGAGAGAATTAAGAAATGTCTTTTTATAAAGAGAACAACTATTCCTACTATATAGTATTACCTATAAATATAGAAAGATCTCAACTTACAGGTACATACACTTGCAGTGTATCTCTAAATTTCTTCTAATACTGGAAAAAAGGAAGAAAAGATATCTAGCAGAAAGAGGCTGTGCACAATCAAGGAACAGGAACAGAGAAAGCATGAGAATTTCAACCCATCAGAAAGTGTGTATTCTGTAGTGCATCGTTTTCTAATTGGTTGAAATTCTCATGCTCTCTCTCTCTCTCTCTGTTCCTGTTCCTATTTCTTGATTGTGTGCGCAACCCCTAAAAATATTTTTTATTTCTTTGCATTATAATTTACATGCATTCCATAAGCATCAGGAAAGAAGTAGAGGTACAGATATATATGCTCTTGTGGTTTGAGGGTAAAATACACAGGCCGTATAGCAAAAGATGGTAAAATCAGCATATTATTATTAGTTACATCCTAAAGTAAGATAGAAATTTATTTGTATAGTTATTATCGATACTTACTTTTCTACTTTTTAGTACCATTATTTTACCTCGATATGCATCGAACACCAATCTATTTCGCTCATAATAAAGAATTTTCCTTCACCACCGACATTTTTAATTATCAGTGGTAAGGTAACTTGTTCACCTACTAGACATTCTCCACAATCAAAGCTCTTTAATTTCCTATATCCCGTTATGCTCTCTGTAGATGTATCCGATGTACAGCTCTTACTTGTATCGGTAAACTGTAAGTTTTTATTAAAATATTATAGTTTTTTAACTGCGTAATTATTTCTCGATTATCATTGAAAATTGAAGTAGAGTTATACCTCTTTGTAAGAATCCGTTTGTCGATATGGAATTTTTATAATCCAATCCGTATTTTTTATCATTGTTTGCGATTCTTTCAATGAATGTTCGAAATAGGGGACGTTAATCACTATAAAAGAAACAATGATATATGGAAGATTACAATTCTAATTTTTTTTACGATACATATTAATTTTATCTTCCACATTTTATATATATTTTGCTTATTTCTTCATATGTGCAACTTGTACATACATGTACCGACGTGTTTTGACAATTGTAAATTTATTTACCTCTCAATAATGGTGGATCTCGATACCCGCGTAATTTAACAATTATCGAACGTCCTTGTTGTACATTTATTACTAATGTTTCATCGGGTTCGTCCAAGATATCGCAACGGAAGAAAATAATCAATTTTTTATACATTCCTGGAGAAATACTCCCTGTTTGTGTTTTAGGTTCGATCATGATAGTGAATCGAGAATAATTAGGTCTTGCCATTAATTGAAATCTGGCTGAAGAATTGCTCATGTTTTGTAACATGATAACTTTCTATAATGAAGAGGAATCAGAAGATATATATATATATATATATATAGAGAGAGAGAGAGAGAGGGGGGGGAAGAATATTATTTTTATTTTCCTATATATACCTGGTATAATTTATTCGATTCATAATTGCGAAATTCCACAGAATTAGGGATTGCAATTAAGACTGTTTTTTGTAATTTTGGTTTTGAGGTATCTTTCTTTGATCGTCTAACTGACGAGAAAGTTGATTCAATTTTTCTGAGAAAGAATTAATGATGCGTAACATATGCATGTGTGTCTATATATATATATATATATATATGTTTAAAAACGATAAAAAACAATTAATATATATAGTCATTATTTTTTATCGTTTTTCTAAATAAGTTCTAAATATATGTAGCTCTATGTCTTAAATTAATACCTTATCATCTGCATTCAACACATATATTTAGTAATTAATTTAAAAAAATAATGAGGCTGATATATATTGCGTTTCGTTATTCATTGCGAGTACTAAAAATCTATAGTTCATGTCATAGATTATATGATATTATAACCTCGTTTTTTTTATTTAATAATAGAATACAAATAACAAGGTGTTAATGTAAGAGAGAGTTACATATTACTTAAAATTTATTGAGAGAAATGATAAAAAAACAATAGAAATTTTTGTAATACCTGGCACAAAAACTTGTCATGAGGATTATAAATATCTAGGTTTTTAATAGGATATCATAGGATATAATGTTTTGAAAATAGACCGACTTATAAAAAGTTATAATTTTATGTTTATTACATATTAAAATCGATATTAATGGAATAAATTTGAGAACTAAATACAAACTTATGAATAACATTTATGACACATTCCAGCGTTTTCCAAATACACGAAGCCAAAATAAAACACCGTCGGTATATAAGACGTCATTTTTTTTCTTTTTTGTTTGATTTCTTTAATTTTTTATAAAACAAGAAAAAAGAAAGGAATAGATTAATAAAAGGAAAAAAAAATTAAAACCACGTTCGTTTTCATTGCAGGAATCGCAAATAGATTTTGCGTGGAAATTACAATTATTTATTTCATACCTCTATGTATTATACATAATAATGTCGAAAGTAAATTTTTACTTTATGCGTAAAACTTGTATCACACTACGCATTGGAGACTAAGGAGTGTGAATTGGAGATTAAAATTCAACTAGTCAGATAATTTTAATTAATTTCGTTCTGAATAGAGTAATCTTCAATTCATAATCCTCAATTTCCAATGATTAGTGACATGGATTAAACAGCGGTTATAACATTACAACTAGTTTGCAATATCTCACGATTACCTGCAACTACTCAGGTAGAAACGGGTTTAATAACAGAACGCAAATTGATACTCCGTTCAACAACATTGTATTTTAAGCTTTATAGGTTCAGAAATTATAAGTGTTTTATTAGAGTGCACTTATGTATTTATTCTACAGATAAGCATACACAATCCATGTGATGGTTGCATCACAGCGAAATTGACTGGATGCATTAATGTGCGCATTTCAGTGCACATTAAAAAAAAAAGACTGTCGTACATAAATTGATATAAAGGCATAGGCATAAGAGTGCGGATTCAATTCGCGTGAGATGCTCTTTGTCAAAACAATTTATTGCGTTTTATAGATCCCTTTTGTACCAATTTCTCGTCAATCAAAATTCTTATATTATAGTTTATAGTTGGATTAAGGTTACACCAGATATTTAATCTGTAGCAGATATTAATACATCCAATTAAATTTTTTATAAAACACATGTTACAATCATATAACATGATTGTTATATGATTTGTAGAATATGATTTATAGAATATTTTATGATTTATAGAATCACATAATTTATAGAATATTTCACATTCTTTCATAGTTTTACCTATTTTCATATATTTAGAGATAAAACAAAAAACGAAGAAATTTTGGTTTAGACTAAATAATGTCATGGTATTTTTTATATGCTTTATACTTTAATTGGATGGATTCTTCAATTTACCTTACAGGCATCCGACAATCATACCATATCACTTTGGACTTTGTATGCATGGAATAAAATTTTTTTTTACCAAAGCTTATTATTGATTGGAAAATATAAAACCCCATATTATACTTTTCTATTCTACAAATACAATGTTTGCTTTGTCGCGCATACTATATCATTGCATTGAAAGTACTATTTTATCTTTGTGTTTCACAATTTTCTGTGCTATCCGATATCATAAAAGTTTAACACAAAATGGAGATGTCTGAAAATTGTTTTACATTCAGACATTTATATGTGTTCACATACATTTTGTGCGTGCGTGCGTCATTCACATTCATTTACTCATGCACGCACGCACGCACGCACGTATACGTATGTATACATACACATACATACATATATGTACGTATGTGTATATATATATATATATATATAATATATATAAATGTATGTGTGTGTACCAACACGTTCCTCTTGTTTAATCTAAAAATTTAACTTTTTCTTGGTGTGTGCTGATTTTTTTACAGTATACCAGCTAGTTCTCCGTCTTACAACATTTAGCCTAGTCATTGAATATTAAGACGTCATTAACGTGCAATTGTACGAACGTTGAACGTTTTTACATATATACAATTCACGATCACGTTTTAAACGTACAATATGCACGTAACGTGCAATTCGATGCATTGGCATGGGATTTTATTAGCATATGCGCAAAATGATGTTTGTTTTCACTTATCAAGTTCCAAAGCAGCATACTGCTCCTCATCCACTTCGGTCATCATTAAATTTCCGTCCGGCAACAACAACACTACTCTCCTGGTTCCTCCTAAAAGAGGGAAAAAAATTAGAGATTGAATGAATTAAATATATATCATTCTTTCTACACATACATACACATACGCACGCACACGAAGTTTCGATAATTTTATTATTACCGGTATACATTGTTTATGGGTGTGGCCCAGTTAGCGCTACAAATGTTTCAAAGTTTTTGATTGACCAATCAGAAGAAAGAATTTAGTAATTGACCAATCAAAGAAAATTTCAAAGTATTTTAAATAGAATCAAATGAACCGTAATCTATATTTCATGTTAGGAGCAATTTGAACAAAAATTTTAGAATCTTTGACAATAAAAAGATGCAATCAAGAGATTATTATTATTATTATTATTACCTGGAGTGGGTTCTTCAGCTTGCACTACTTGAGCTATAACAGACTGTCCATCGTTATGTCCATCATTATCTTCTTGGGTTCCACTTACATCGGACGCATTTGTGTTATCCATTATAGACATAACCATTGAATTTTCAGTCGGTTCTGTTCCATCTTCCTTTACGTAAAACTGCGGCGTGAGATTTACCTGATCAGGGATCAACTGTGCTACAGCTTCAGCTACCGCATGATCCAATGTTAAGACTGATCCTTCATCTCCTTGTTGCTCGGTGGTGACATATACACACTGCTGCTCGCCATCGGCGCCATGCGTCACGAGGAGAGTTTGTCCATCTTCAGCTTGACTCGCGACTTGATAGACGACGCCATGTTCAGCTATAGTAACCAAATTGGATGCATCGTCCGTCATTTTCTTCTCTTCCGGTACCTTTTCCCCAGTCTTGACATCTGCCGTTGTTACCGACATAGTAACGGTAGATGTTGTCGGAACTGTCGACAATACCGTAGTAATGGATGTTTCAGCAGAACTAGAAACAACGGTTTCTGTCGAAGACGTTACTGTGGATACAGATTGTGAAACGGTGGTTACTGCTGTCGTAGAAGCGGTATCGTCCAAGCAAGGTAAATCTGGCGCAGATATCGTTACATTCGATAAATTAATCTGTGCTGTTTCACTGTCTTGAACAATGGTGCCGGTCGTTCCACCTGGACTCATCTCTACTCTCATAATACCACCGCTTTCGGTGAGTGAGTCAAGAGAAGGTAAGACCAATTCGGCGGTAGCATTATTGGTAGAAGCGGTTGTGGTTGTAGTAGTGGTAACGGTGGTAGTACTGGCATCGGTCGCAGCTGCGACAGTCGTAGCCGTAGCTAGACCTGCTGTCACAGTTTCGGACGTGTTAGTTTTTGTTACAGTCGAATTTGCTGTTGCTTCACCAGGTTCAGGTTCTGGACCCTGTTGTTCAATCGGTTCACCATCTGGACCGATTATGCGTCCCGTGAGGGGACATAATGTGAATGGACGCGGTGGACTGTCAGGTTCTGGAGCCGTAACAACATCCGGCTCAGGAGCAGGTGGAAGATCTGATTCATCTTCGCTGCTACTCTCTTCCGAGCCGACTTCGTGAAATTCCATGTGAAGTCCATCACCTTCCGCTAATTTGCTTTCCTTCGCGGGTTTGGAACTTGTCTGACCTATTGGTGAAGGCGTCTCGGAAGTACCTACTTTTGCTCTGCCTCGGCCCGCAACGGCACGAGCACCTGCCAAAAGTCCACGACCACCCGGTTTTATGCCTGCTGCTTCTTGAGCTTTTCTCTTTACCATCAATAACTTTTGTTGCGGAGATAACAATGATTGTGCCTTACCTACTGGTGTCTTCAAAGATTGCTTTATTTGTGGTGGTGATGATGATTGTCGTGGTGATGATGATTGTTGTACTGAATTGGTGCCAGTTTTGATTATCTGTTTGGACTGCGGAGACGTTGTGAGTACCGTGAATTTTGGTCTAATTTGCGTGACCGTACCAGTCATTGTGACAACCGGTGAAACGGTCTGTTGCGTACTTACAACTGTCGTCGTACGCTTTTGCAACACCGGACGCGTCGCTTGCGCCTGAATCCTCGGTGCAGGTGCTCTGACGGGCGTACGAATTGTACCAAGAACGCTTGTTGCTGCTGTCGGACGCAATGTCGGTCTAGGTAGTAAAGGACGACCGTCTGTCGTTCGCTGAGGCGTGACAGGAGCAGATCTTATACCTGTAGTTATTCTCGGTTGTAAAGTTATTGGTGTCGGCACTGCAGTCACAACATGTATCTGTTGCAATTGCGACGGATCCGGTTTTGGCTGTATCTTTACAGGCTCACTCTTCTGTACGCTGCCCATTTTCGGTGTAACGCTCTTGACCACCTTCATCTGAGTTACCATTTGGCTTCCGTCCATTTTCGAAACGACTTTCACAGGGGTCATCGAATTAGACTGAGACGTCGAGATTATTTGTTTTTTTATTACGTTTGTATTATCTCGATTTTGAACCATTACGACACTTTGCGTTGTCGGAGATCCTTTGACCGCTAGTTTTCCACTGGGGGACGAATTCAATTTAATGATACCATCTTTTCGCGACATGACATAGAGACCGGAAGCCAAATTCGGCATTTGTTTGGGATCGACTTTAACAACTCCCTTGGCGCTAGCCACTAAAACAGGCTGTTGGCTAGATTTTGCTCCCTCTGGAGACTGCAAACCTAATGACGTTGCCAGATCGGTAGACGAAACCGAAGTTCTGTTGGATCCATTCGATTGCGCATTAGCGCGATTGAACGCACGTTGAATTACGTCGCTACGGCCCACCATTCTTTCGTCTTCGGATTCTCCAGTCCATTCGTCATCACTTCCCGTGTCACCTTTCGTTCTCTTTGCTGCACTACTTCCTCCTTCTTCTGAATCGCTTTCCGAATCATCGATCCTCCTTTTACCTAACACTACATTTGTACAAATATCAATTCAAACAGCGTATACTTAATATGTCGTTTAATATGTTATTTATTATGTTTTAATATTTAAAAAAAAAGTTTAGTATTAAATATGTCGATTGCAAAATTATATATATGTATCAAGTGCGCGTGTAATTTCAAAATACGTACGTTCGTTTTCTTCGTCTTTCATCGAACCACACCATTGCTTGACTTGATCCATCGCTTTTGATTTACTAGACCGCATCGGGCGTCTATGCAGCAATTAACAAATTCACATAAACATCAGTGATTCATAGAATAAAATAAAATATTTCGTAATTGTATTGTTTAATTAAAAAATAGCAAAGTTGCTCACCCTGCTTGAACCGCTGTACTTGGTCCAGGCTGACTAGTCTCAGCTTTCATCACCGATTTTTGCGTCTGCAAACTCACACGTCCAACGATCTTTGTATTAGCCTGCTGTTGTGCTTTAAGCTCTTTTTGCTTGGCGAGATTTCGCTCAAATTCATCCAACAAACTTTTGCACGTTGCTACAGCCTCTGCAGATTCCCATGTATTGTTTTCACTACAAATTTGCAACATTTCGAAATACATTGTTAGAAAAAAAGAAAGATATGTGCAATTGATAGGAAGTACCCACTGTGAATAGCCTTCCCACTTGATTAAGTATTCCGAGCATCTCTTTTTTGGATTAAAGCGTTTGGCTAATATTTTATCGACAATGTATTCTTCGTTATTCAGGTCTGTATCTTCTTCAGCAATTGCTTTGCCAGACTTAATCTGCAAAAATATTGAGATAGATCAAGCGGATTCCAAACATGCATTGTATTTTGTTAAACAAATGGTATCAAATAATACTTTAGGCTTAATCGATGGTTTCAGCCTTGGTTTTTCTTTTTTGTCTACTTCAATTTCCATAGATTCATTTTTTTGTGTTTTTGTTTCCAGTAATTTCGCAGAATCCTTTTTAGCTTCACCTGTTTCTTCCGGTTGTCCATTTCTGACAACTTTACGAACTATCAGTGGTTTGGCACCTGCAAAGCAAGAAATGTTCATCTTGTTAATAAAGTTAGCACCTTTTTTTGTATCTTATAAGTTTTTTTTTTCCTCTTTAACAATCACCTTCGATATTGGTATTTGATTGAATTTGTATTGGGGTATCCTGCATTTTTGCGTTACTAATTTTTGTAAAGGTTTGTATAGTTTTTCCTGCTGTAACCCATGCCTCTCTCACATGCGTATCCATCTTACACCATTTCTGATACAATTCCCAAGCACTAGATGTATCCTTGTCTGAACTGTCTTGTTGAATTTGTGTATCTTTCCATAGTAGAAATGCCCATACTTGTGCTTTTTGCCCATTCTACAAATATAAAAGGAACATTTCAGATGAGCAATTTTTCCCAATTCTGTACAATCTGTATGTGTTGCATACAGATGTGAAGGCACAAAGTATAAATACAAACGTCGTTAGTTTCACGAATATGTGATGCTTTAGAACAGGCTCTCTCCTTTGTACGATGTTCTTGAAACTCTTCGATAAAATGAAAGACAGAATGACACTGTCCACATACCAGTACATCTAATCGTCCCATTTCTTCTTGTGCTGCTAATGAGGTAGAAAAGTAATTGAAAGCAAAGCAGAAATACAAGCACAATAGTTGTGTAAAATATTTATTATATGTCTTAATTCTTTGATTATAGAAAAAGGAAAAAGTAGACAAGATAGAAAACAAATCAAATATGATTTCCAAGTGATGCGACAACAGAAAAAATGTAATAATCAACATAACAATTACCTTTAATAATATTGGGTTTATTACCGATGGCTGAAGGGCCATCGTCTCCCTCCATTCTGTATACGATACTCGTCTCGCGATCTCTTTTCTAAAAATTAAATAACGTCACTGTTAATTGTTAAACAGCAAGGAATGAATAGGGAATTTCTGTTTGGTACGATGGATATTTGAACAATGAAAACGAAGATATAGTGAGGGGAAAAAAAGAGAAACACCGAATCGAAACAAACTTTGCTAACATGAGACAATTGAATAAAAAAGGCGGGAGACGTCTGGCGCGAAAATGGTGAAAACGCAAGTCGAGTATATATACACTACGTCAAATCTAAATTTTGCACTTTTGCGTTCGGTAACGAGAAAATAGAAGCGCAATAGAGGACGAAGAATGTCGACGATCGCGAGTATCGCTGCTTCCTTCTTTTTGTTTCTCTTTCTCTCTCAAGAAAGACATTTCGTACACGCCGATTCGTACACGCGCGATCTACAGTTTGGTCCCCGAAGCCAGCCACGTGAGAAAAGAATGCTCAAGAACGTCGTTACTAACGCTTAATCGAAATACAGGTATAATTATGTTGACTGTGTTCAAATAAAAGCGTCGAGACCATCGTGTAATTCGAGAGTGGGCGTGTGTGGCACTGAACTGTGGGTGAACTACAAGGCGATTGTAAACGGGACCAGTGACGACTGCCGCGAATGCGTGAATTATGGACGACACTCGCGCGCCGAGCGTTCACTCGATGGCAATTGTTCCCGCGCCACGCGGATATGGAGTATGTACATACTGTATGTACGGACTGGGATGGACGCTGCTGCACAGCGCTCTTATCTCGCGCTAATAACAAGCAAGAGAGCTATCTTTCAATCGTAAGGTTCGAGAGACCGGTGTGATCGGTGTGCCGGTAACACCGGTGCCGTTCTCTTTATATTAATATTGTTGTTGTTGTCGTCGTCGTCGTCGTCATCGTCATCATCGCTATCGTCGTCGTCACGGTTGGTCGTCGATGAGAACTCGTCGTCTCCTCTGTTCCTCACGAGCAAGCCAATGCTCGTCAAAGATGGCTCTCGTCACCGATTTGTACTTTCGTATGAACCACTCACTTCCTGTCTTTACATGAACGCTTTCTGAACACCCCGTGAAATTTCGGATCGCGATTAACGTCGCGATCGTAAAGGTGAATCGGCGATGCTCACTTACATACGGCGAAACTGGCGAAGGACCGTATTTCCCCTTAGCTTGGAAAACTGCTCGTTGTCGCGCAAGACTGGACGAAAACAGCGACCGTGAGCGACCGCGTCGGCCGACAGTGGCGCCATCAGCGCCATGGCGGCGATGGCGGTTGATGGCGGTCGCCCGGCATTACCTCGTGTCCTTTTTGCTGCCTTTTTGCCCAGACCAGACGTTTTATGCTTCTGTCGTACGTTTGTTGTATACTTTATTGACATACTTTACCTGACAATACCGACAATCCCGGCATGCTCCGACCAACTCCGATCGGCTCCGATCAGCCCGTGATCCCCGATATACTGTACGATCAACCGTTGATCATCCGCGCAATGTTCCCAATTCCCAAATCTCTTTGCCCTTTCCTTTCTCTGTTCTCAACTTTCCTCGTTCTTTCTTCGACCCAGCACAAATTTGTCTCGACTTTCGACCGATCTCGACCTATCCCAAGCACGGATTTGCACGGATTTTCACGGATTTTCGCGGATTCTCGCGCGCCGGTGATCTATTGAAATCTACGTTTTGAATGATTCGGATGATTTTACCCAGATATAGCTTACCCAGGTAGTTTAGATTTTTCATCAACCTTTCTATTTATTCTTTAAAAATGAAATATAATCTTTGCTCCGCGTGCGTTTCTAAATAGTAAATCCCTCGTGTCGAATCGGATGTCCACGTCAGGTAGATCGATGCAAGAGTAATTCTACGATTTTTTTTTATTCCACCATGGATTTTACGATGTCTCACTGGTTCATGTGCAATTCGGTGCCTGAGATGATTTTTCAAGCTGGACTCTTCATTCGCGTATTTTATTCACAGAATCGAATTCTTGCAAACCTTTGCTCATTTTAACCTCTCACACTAGATCCATTCTCTGCATTTTTATCTTCTGTTCATCTTTATTTTTTATTTAATTCTTCAACATCTTATTTTCATTTCATTTTTCCAATGCTGAGACGACTGTAAAATAGCGATCATGAAATTATTACATTATTTTTTTTACACTGCAGCACACACACCCTGCATAGAATCTAATGATGATATAATCTTCAAGGATTTGTCAGGATTTGTGCGAGTTTGAGCATCATATGTAAACAATATTCTTCAAGTGAGTCAAATAATTACACAAGGCATGGTACATATATGTGTGTGTGTGTGTATATATATATGGCCAGAGATACTACCGCATCTCCTGATATATATAAAAAAAATATATATATATAAATAAAAGGTCAACATATATATACTATGCTACATAGTTTTTAAGTCATTCTGACCTTTTATTTTTCATCATTCTAAAAATGTGTGATTTTATTATATTTTTTATTATATATAGAATATTTTATCTAGATGATGGCAGAAGAGGAATCTGAGGAAAAGGAGTACCGTTGGGAAACTGGTTACGAAAAGACATGGTACAGATTTTATATTGGTTATACATCTATACATATTTAATACGATATTTTGATTTAGATAAGAGTTTTATATTCATGTATTGTAGTATGAATTCATGTAATAGATAATATAACAACAATTCTTGACAATTGTGTACCTGTTTATAGGGAAGCAATCAAGGAAGATGACCATGGTTTGTTGGAAGCTTCTGTAGCGGATATTATTCACAATGCCAAGAGGAAACGCCAGTTGGAAAGAAAACAGGGTGCTAGATTAGGAATGATGAGGCATCTTTATATTATCTTAGATGCTTCGGAGTCAATGTCTAATCAAGATTTGAAGCCAACTCGTTTTCTATGTTCTCTAAAGGTACAATGAAAGAATATGTGTTAACAATTATTCTTTTTTCTGTCTGTGTATACAGGATATCCGTAAATGAGATCAAACTATATTAAAGTGAGTTTGGCTCCAATCTTTACACACATCCTGCATATGTGTGCAATATAAAATATAATGTATACATAGCAATCTTTCCCTCTTTCCCCCCTCTCCCTCTCTCCCTCCCTCACGTACACACACACAAAATATATATATATACACATATATATGTTAGGTGTATACAAATTAGTTCAGTCCGTTTTTTGTGTTTAAAAATGCATTTATTTCAAAATAAAATGAATGAACAGATTAATTAAAGTATTGTCTATCTCTGGCTACTACTTTTCCCATCTCTCAGGCAATTTTCGAATTCCATTTCAGAAAAATGACTCGTCTTTGGAGGCAATCATCTTTTGGAAAACGGACCATACTAAATTGTACTCCTAATATATATATATATATATTCATGTTATATAAATGTATATATTCATTGAATGTATTTATTTCAAGCTTCTAGAAGATTTTATCGAAGAATTTTTCTATCAAAATCCTATAAGTCAATTAGGTGTAATTATAACTAGAAATAAAAGGGCTGAGAAAATTAGCGATTTGGCTGGTAACTCAAAGAAGCATGTCAAGGTAATTATTTTATTATATATTACCCTTTTTGTTTATTATATCTTGAATATTTCATTTTATCATCTATTTTATAGGAATTGCAAATTTTACAACAAACTGTAGTAAGCGGTGAACCTTCTTTGCAAAACTCTTTAGAATTGGCAACAAAGTTATTGAAATTATTACCATCACACGCTAGTAAAGAAATATTGGTAATTATAGGGGCCTTAACTACATGCGACCCTGGGGATATCAACGAAACAATAAGAGTATGCTTTAATTTCTGTGTTCTTCGTTTGCTTCGAAAATATATATATATTTTTCAATGTTGAGTTTATTTTAGAATATGAAATTGGATAGTATTAGATGTAGTGTAATAGGATTAGCCGCTGAATTATATATTTGTAAACGAATGGCGAACATTACCGGTGGCGAACATAGCGTTGCACTCGATGATAAACATTACAAGGAGCAATTGAATGCACATATAGATCCTCCGCCTGCTGCAATGCGATTAGATGCAGCGCTTGTGAAAATGGGGTTTCCTCATCACGCTCTACACTCTAATGCACCAGATACATCTATAACAGTATGTATGTGGTAAGTATATATGCGCAAGTCAAAATAATATGCCTATATATGATATTTTATACATATTTTGTTTTTTTTTTACAATTACACCAGAAGATTATCGCCATGTTGCCGTTCATTTTTAAAGCCAATATTACCAATATCAGTGCACCCTTTGCCCTGATAAAGTAAACGACAATGGTTCACGAAACATTGGCTTTGAACGACAACACGACGATAACCCACAAACCTTCTGGTATAATTGAAGATAATATCCGTGAAAACCTCAAATGCGTTGTTTTTTTTTTTTTACATTATACTTCTTAATTTTAGTTTTACGCATAATATTTACGCGTATTTTCTTTTCTTTAATCTCTTCTCTTTTTTTTTAGTCATGCACACAATTCCGATGAAACAGTCAAACTTATGACTACCGGCTACCTTTGTCCCCAGTGCCTCAGTAAACATTGCGAGCTACCTGTGGAATGTAGAGCTTGCGGTCTTACTCTAGTATCCGCTCCACATTTAGCTCGATCGTATCACTATCTATTTCCTGTTGATCCTTTCAAAGAAATTGCACCTGAGAGTGATTACACTCTCTGCTTTGGTTGCCAAAAAGCTTTTGCTCAAAAGGATAAAAAGGTAATACTTATCATTTCTTTTCTACACTAATACAAGAAATTAGAAATTTATCGAAGCTTGTAATAAATTGAAGTTTATCAAGATATTGTTTTAATCTGCCAAAATATCATACATACCATATATGTATATATGAATATTTTAAACAGCAAGCGTATCATATATATTTATTTTTAGGTATATACCTGCGGAAAATGTAATCGAGTGTTTTGCTTAGACTGTGAGATTTTTATTCACGAAATATTGCACACGTGTCCTGGTTGTGCAATAAATCCTGAAACATATAGAAAAAGAGAATCTACAGATAGATCTTGAAATGATTTATTCAGTATAAATTCTGCCAAAGAGCAACTCAAATTATGTTGCATAATATATAATTAATTTTTTAATAATTCAATCTCTGTTTCAGTATACATAATATTGTATAATATCATATTAAAAAAATTCTATAAGGAAGTATATATAGAATGTTTGAAGCAAATATTGTGAATATTAAAGCTTCTATATAATTATCAATATTTGCATAAAACAATTATAATTTCAATCGTATTATCAATTCCAAAAACTTTTCTATTGAAAGTATATTGTAATGAATTGCAGTTTATTGTAACATTGACAATTCCTATGAATATTGCAAACAATAAGATTATAATTATTATTATATATTAGAATTGGGATTGGACAGACAAACTAGAAACATTATTTCGGTCCAGAACAGGTAACATTCCAGGTTATTAAGAGATTATAATCAATTTGTGTATCAGTTGAACAAAAATCATAATATTTATATGTGTGTAAATACATTTACTGATACAGGAAGAAAATTTGTACAAATATATATGTACATTGCGACAAATAAGATGTATGTGCGTGCTCGCACTTTTATTCTAGATTAAAAATATTAAAGACATTTTTATACGAAAAATAAAAAAAAATGTTTTTTGTCTTATCCGTAGTGTTAACGATAGTACTAGTAGCTGCAAATTATTTGAGATTGTGTATGTATGCGCGCGCGCGTGTGTAAATACACACACACACACACACATATTATATATTACGTAGTAAAAATATATTGTTAATGTGTTGACGATTCCAGCTAAAACAAAGTAAGGCACATTTTGTGCCAAAGTAGTGAGTAAATGAGTGAGTGCAAATATCCGAATGTCTGACATGTGACTGGAAGTTTACAAGTACAGCGCGGCGACTCCTAACGCAACGCAAATGTCCTACTTCAATAGTATAGTGGGGGAACACTGAAGCTTATTGTTACATAGACAGGTGGAAAGTGGTTACTGTGAGATTAGTACGTTATTAATTTACGGTTGTCGGCCAAAGCGACCAGTTTTCCTCCGAGCACGATTGAGACGCACCAGCAATTTGATTTACATTATTCACCCTATGTCGATTAAATTTAATATTGTGTACATATTAATATTATTATTTTATACATATCGTCACATTAAGGTAAGCTTATTTATTTAATTACATCACGTGACTGGTATTTAATCATCTTACAATTAATGTCAGGGCAAATCTGCTTTATTAATTGTTTACTGTTGTAAACAATTACTGTTGCAAAATGTGTTATGGGAGGTTTTCATATTTCAATTTGAGGTTTCAATTGGTAGTTTCAATATAGGATATAAATATTGTCACATCATTTGCATAAATGTTTTGTGAACGTATGTACATGCACACACACACACGCGCACACACAGTTAATAGAGGACGATTATCATACATAGCCATTGAAGAATGGATAACATGTCGAGAAAACTACAACATCGAATGTGCCTATTTACATTTACAACATAACGTAGTTGTGAACTTGTTTTCTAAAGATAAAATGTAAAGTATAAATCAAAGTCAAACGTATATATTCTTTGTCCTCTAAATATTCTGGATATAGATGTTAATATTCATAAAGTCTCAGTTTAAAAGAAACTTTAGAATTATAGAAATAGTTACAGAAAATATACGTGTATTATGTAACATTTAATTATATATTTAAAAATTAAATTAGCTATGTGTATAATCTTAATATGTAACAAATCGCCAATAGTTATTTATTGCTCAATAATTTATACAAATGCGATAACTTTTTATTTATTATACAGTCTTTCGTGTTACATGAAAGTTTACATTACAACTTTTCTCAGAAATTAATAAAACAACGAATAATTTATGTTTAATTAAAAGGAGCAATTTAACACACGAATGGACTTTTCTGTTTTTTTCTTTTTCTTACATTAGTTGAAAAAAAATGTATAATTTAATATATTAATATTTTTAATCGATTGTAGCTTTGACAAACAATTATATTATCGATAAATCTGGATTATAAGCTGGACAAAGCTAATTTAATTTGATTCAAGGTTTCTATTACAAATGAATTGAATAAAAACGGATATCTAAGTGTGTGTCTGATTCTCTCTATAGCCGATTGTATAACTATCGAATAGGTATGAGATTAGTTGAGCAACTAAATATCCTTGTTGAGTTACGTTCAGATTCCCATCCGAGTACTGTCCAGGTATCACTCCATCCTTGTTTATCGAATGTTAAACAAAGATGATACTCGGGGAGCACCGGATGGAAATCCGAACACGCTCTTGGATAGGTGATGCAGAATCAGGAACGTAATTATTATTGTCGATACTCTTCGTTAGTAGTTACCGACAACATTAATCAACTGTATTTAATTCATAGGAAAACTTATGTAAACTCATCCTAATAGCTTCTGGGGAGAATGTTTGTTTGAATTTTATGTTTGAGTAAATCGTCTAGGTGTACAATTTTCTGCATGGTTGTACACGACAATTACTTTTATTTAAAATCATTCTAACATCATAGGAAATCTTAACGGATTCAAAGCTTATTAAATTACACTTTATATTGCACATTGCAGGCATTAAATACAAACAGAATATGATAAAATAAATATTGTTGTGACTGTAACAAAAGCTAATAAACAAGATTTCTTAATGAGGACAGAGGAATATTATTTTGATTTTAGTCTTGATAGATAATAAAGAAATAATTAAATAAAGAGAGAGAGAGAGAGAGAGAGAGAGAGAGAGAGAGAGAGAGAGTTGGTAAAAATAAAGTGTGAATTATGTATCATTAGTTTACACGTTAAAAGTGTACAATAAAAGTGATTTGATTATTTTCTGTGTCATTAATTTTAATATTGATTAATAATTTGCTAACAAAATTAATTGTTCTGTGACATTTGCATGTGTTCAGAAAAATATAAGATATATATATATATATATTTGTATTTTTTTAATGAGACAACTGAAGCAAGATAGAGAAAGAGAGGGGGGAAGATAATAAAGACGTAGAATAGGGCATCTCTTTTATATATGTATACATATATAATATATACATATATATGTATACATATAGGTGCAATCTGATCAAAGCTAGTAAAATAATACACGATTCCTGATGTGAAGTCAAGTGTAAGAAACGGTTTACGCGTAAATATTTGCTCTCTTGACTTAAATGCCTTTGATTCAAGGCAAATTATATATATATACATACATATATATATACACCATACGCAGACCACACATACCCACACATACATGTACGAGCGTAAAAGCAAATATCTTGTGGGTCGTTTTATTTTGTAATTTTATGTAAATGTTATTTAATAAAAAAATGTAATATAGTTTTGTGTGCACTCAAAGAATGACTGAAAGCTTGCTGTAGCGCTGTCTTAAAATTATCATTCGCGATATTGGGCGTTTGAGTTCGATATGATTTCTCATTTATAATGAAAATAACGATACGATGCTTAGAAACATAATTAAGGATGTAGTGCGCTTATATTTGTTACATAAAATACTCGAAAAGTTGCCAGTCATTCCGTTTTTGTTTTATCATCTTTTTACCATTACATTTATTATTATATTTATTAAATTATTTATTCCATATTCTGCATTCATTTATTGTCTATATTCGTAGTTACCAGTGGTACATGTTTTATAACGTAGAATTAAGAATTCTTAATAATCATTTACAATCTTTTACCAAGCGTTTTTACAATCCGAATATTTGAGCATGAAACCTGATAATGACGACGGTCATATAATGACTAAGATTACATTTTGCAGCACTCGTGGCTGTTAAAAGATAAAATCCTTTTCACGTGTTTTAGAAAGGATGTCATATTGTCTTTTGAAAACGTACGATAATAATAATTGTTCATTAGTAACATTTTTTAAAAAACAAGTGTTGTTTAAAAAACCAGAAAATATAAGTTTGAATATTATCATAAAAATTTTGTAATATTGATTCTTTTAATGCAATTTTAGTGTAAAATAATTGATTATAGGGAAATAAAAATACACGTTCTTTTGTTTTCTTCTTTGTTTTTTATGTTTATATTTTTAATATTAATTAAGCTTTGTGCCAATGTGCACAAAATCTTGGGTAAAGATCGAATGGAATGATTGTACGGGGAAATAAGTGAACGGAGAGAAAGTGGCACCAAGGTTGCGAAGCAGTTGTACGTATGATACATACTTATACTATATACAATATGACGATAACATTTAATTGAACAGAGTTGGCGTGACTTTGTTATTTCCACGTATAAAGATTGAAAGATATCTATCACTAATCCAAATTAAATTACCTACCATCTTTAAATTTATTTGATAGTCCTCTTTTCGCCTTTTACTTTTTGACCAAATTGACGATGTTATTGGCAAAAATTATGTTTTATTATGTTAAAATTATTGTCATAAAATAATCGATACTTAAACAATTGAAATTCTAATAAACTGGAAACTCGTTATTGCGTAAAATATTAAAAACAAGGAACTAATACTTTTTTTTCCTATTATCTTTGACTATTCTTACCTGATTTTTATCCTCTTTCGAGGTTTTATCTTTCGAGGTTGCACAATTGTCATTTTGCGGTGAATATGTTTTTGCAAGAATTCTTGCTGAGAGAATGTCAATTTTCTTGAATCACACGCACAAAATATTGATATGGTAAAATAAAATAATATCTACAATTATCAGGACCGTTTAAAAGAAAGGGAGAGTAAAAAGTGTGACAAAATATATTGCAATCTCTATATTAATAAAAAAAACCTCGAAATTTCGTTCGGTTAAATATAATAATTACAATTATTTTTTAATGTTTCTGTCCAAATTAATTTCATATCCAAATTAATATATTTGTATATATGACCCAATCGGAGTCGAAACGTCTGGAAATTTTATATGTATATAGTTTGTTTTTTTAAATTATACGTACGTTAAACATATTTGGCTCTTTGCCCTTTTTCTTATTTATA